AGTACGATTTAATATATAATAATATTATTTCTATAATTTGATTTTATTTTACCAACTTTTTCAACAGATATTAAACAAAACAAACCGTTATTACGTGAACGGCTATTCACAACATCAAGTGACATCAGATTATGTCATCACTTTCGTAGATTCTCCACCGAATTCCGAGGAATCTTGGACTGGTATGTTACTGAAATAGACTTGTCTCTATATATAATACTTTAGAAAGAAACTATAAATTTAATTACAATTGGTTGAAAAAATATATTAATAACGCTTAACATTAAGGAATTTCCATACAAATAAACAATGTTAAACTTTTGTTTGCAAGATTCACTGTGGAATAATGATTGTTCATCGTGGAATGCTATTTAAGATTTTTTGAATACTTACAATGCTACTTTTAACATAAAACGCGACCAAAAAACGAAATAATAGTTTAACTAAGTTCCAAGCTGTATAATTTACTTTTGCAATAGAATTTAAGATTATTTACTTGTATAAAATTTAAAGTTAAATGCCTGAGCCTTAAGCCTTAAACGACTTATTTGTAATAAACTTTTCAGACGAGAACACGAAAGAATCCCCTGGACCTCAAATAATCGACGTGCAAACAATTTACTCAAATAGTGGATCGCGAAAGAGACGAATGGATTGGGACTCATTGGACATTGGTCAAAGTGGAAACACAACTACTACACAGTCTGGAGAATTAGCTTCCAAAATTCCACATCACGATAAAGACAAGGTCAAAAAGGATAAAACGACAGGTATGTTGGTAATTCTTCTTTACTGGTGTAGACACCGCTTGCGCAAGTTGGCGCCAATTGGAGATTCCAAGTGAAGCCAGGTCCTTCTCCTCCTGGTCTTTCCAACGGAGTGAAAGTCTTCGTCCTCCTCTGCTTCTCCCGGCGGGTATTGCGTCGAATACTTTCTGAGCTGGAGTATTTTCGTCCATACGTACGACATGATCTAGCCAGCGCAGGCGCTGTCTAATTAAAATGTTTATAAATTGTGAAAAATGGAGCTCCTTATGTTATCCAATCGGATGACAAAGTCAATTACTTCTCATAAAATGCAAGTTTTTCATATCGTCAGCATATACACTGCTGGTCTTAAGTATGACGCACAAACTTTTTTTTTTTTAATAAATTGTTATACACCCAACTCTGCTTTTACACACATACATAGTAGTAACTGAGAAATCTCCTTATTCGATAACTCCTACCTACACATTTTGTTCGCGTGATATTTACATTGCTGAAATGGATATCTACTGTGATGATACCGACTTTAGTCCAGTTCATGGCAAACAATGGCGTCCAGTTCATCGCAAACAATAGCGTCGAATAACATGTAATTTGTAGCTATGTAAATAATTTTCTATATTTCTAATGTAATTTTTCCGTTCTTAATTCTGGATTAACAGATTTTTTTGTTTTTTGCTTAATCTATTATGTATTTTAAGTTTTAATGCTCAATAAAATGCCATATGAACATACGATTTGTATTCATATCTGAAATTTTATAGTTTTCAACATTTTTTACATGGTTTTTCAAAGTATATATAGTTCTTTATTTCATCTTACACGGTTTTCAGATGACATGGAACGTATCCCCCATTTTACTATAGCAAACGCCTATTTTTTTACACGGATTTCTGAGGAACGTATCTACAGTTAAAAAAAGTGTTGGGCGTATTTATAATGCTCCTCGTTCTTATTATCCAAAATGCTTTCCTTGTTGTTTTGCGAAAAACTATGGCAATTGAGTGCGTTTTCGGTTTTTCATTGAAATAGACGCATTTTAGATTTCTTTATCTTGCGTGAACAAGTGCAGTTTTTTCTATTGAGAAATTATTAAAAAGATACAAGTAAATTGTTTTCGAGCTACATTTAACACAATAATGTAAAAATCTACTATTCTGAGCTTATTAGAAAAATTGTTAGAATTGCTTCAAATTCGACGAAGTCTGCAGCTAAGATTAAGAAATTAACCGTTCAGCGTACAAGTCAGAAATGCAACCTAAAGTGTTTAAAAATCAAGAAAAACCTCTGAATGAATTACGCAAAAAAAATGGCTTCACATTGTTGGAGTCCGTATGTTCACAAAGAAGTGATCTAGGTACAAAGAGATCCTTGGATTCCTTGGATTTTTCAACAAGACAATGTTTGTTATTCATAACCATCGAGTAGTAAAGTCATTTATTACGAGTCAAAACGTTAAGGTCATGACCTGGTCACCATATGGCTAACAAGTAAAGTATACAAAGAATACGAAGATAAGGAAACATTAACTTCAGCTTTAAACGTGCTTAGAGTGAGATTTCCTTGACCTACATATATTCCCTGTATCATTCTAATAACGACCGGATATATGAAGTTATTACTAACAAAGGGGGAAGTAGTCATTACTGAAATTATTATTTTTATTTGCAAGGAATCAAATAGTTGCACGAACTAAAAATTTAAGTTTAAAACAAAAAATTCTTCGCGTTCTTTCTAATAATCAAGAGAAAGGCACCTTTTTTAGGTAGCTTTAAACACAATTTTGTTAAGTTTGAATAATCATTTTAATATTATATTTAAATTTGCATTAATTAGCCATGTTTCTGCATATACACTTTTTTCACTTCTTGTAATGCAAGTAAGCCTGCGACTAACCTGCCTTACGCATTCAATTGTTGTGAGATTAATTTAAAATGCTCACAAAATAACGGGAATATTATTTTTATACTCTCGCAATAAAGTTGCTAAAGAGAGTATTATAGTTTTGTTCACATAACGGTTGTTTGTAAGTCCTAAAACTAAAAGAGTTAGATATAGGGTTATATATACCAAAGTGATCAGAGTGACGAGTAGAGTTGAAATCCGGATGTCTGTCTGTCCGTCCGTCCGTCTGTCCGCCCGCGCAAGCTGGAACTTGAGTAAAAATTGAGATATCAAGATGAAACTTGGTGCACGTATTTCTTGGCTCCATAAGAAGGTTAAGTTCGAAGATGGGCAAAATCGACCCACTGCCACGCCCACAAAATGGCGGAAACCGAAAACCTATAAAGTGTCCTAACTAAGCCATAAATAAAGATATTAAAATGAAATTTAGCACAAAGGATCGCATATTTGGATGTAATTTTTTTGGAAAAGTGGGCGTGGCCCCGCCCCCTACTAACTTTTTTGTACATATCTTGAAAACTGCTATAGCTATGTCAACCAAACTGTATAGAGTAATTTCTTTTACGCATTTCCATATACAGTTCAAAAACGAAAGAAATCGGATAATAACCACGCCCACCTCCCATACAAAGGTTATGTTGAAAATCACTAAACGTGCGTTAACCGACTAACAAAAAACGTCAGAAACACTAAATTTTAAGGAAGAAATGTCAGAAGGAAGCTGTATCCAGGCTTTTTTTTTTAAATTGAAAACGGGCGTGGCGTCGCCCACTTATGGACCAAAAACCATATCTCAGGAAGTACTCAACCGATTTCAAYGAWATTCRGTATRWAATATTTTCTTAATACCCTGATGACATGCACCAAATATGGGTGAAATCGGTTCACAACCACGCCTGAAATCTCGATTATCACTTTATCATGCGAGAGTATAAAATGTTCGGTGACACCCGAACTTAGCCCTTCCTTACTTGTTTCATTTATTCATTTGTCTATGTTGTCGCTTTTAAAATATTCACCATTCGATATTATGCAGTAATGCCGACGCTTCTTCCAATCTGGTGAAAGTACCTTAAGGTACTTTTTTTTTGGAATTAGGGAAGCGTCACACGGAGCCATGTCTAGCGAATATGTACCAATATAATAATAAATTGATAACTGGATTCTGCAAAGCACGAAATTTTAATATTGTCGTTATTTTCTGAGCACAACTCGAGTGTAGCTAATTAGAGTGCATTTAGAAAGCAATTTTTTAAGAAAATTTCAACATACTTTGTTTTATCTACATTTAATTACTTTCAAGGTAGAATATGTATATCGTTCTTTTTTAACCCTTTGAAAAATAATACTTCCTTTTCGTTACTCCAATTCTTAAATTAAAAATGTCAATTTAGTTCTGTTTTTGATGTTAAAATTATAATTTTAAATTTTTATTTCCAAATTTCTATTCGTTTAATTTAAAATTTAAAACATGTTTTTCCAATTAACTTGCACAGAGTACACTAGTTTTGCTCACCTAAGGGATTTTTGTAACACCCAAAGCCAATCGATTTAAATTAAGAATTACATATGATATGATATATATGATATATAGAAATGATTAGAATAAGAAGAAGAATTGAATGTCGATGATAAAACATGGTACCCGTGTTCCGCACTCTACGCTCATTGATATATCGAATTAGCGAAACTAGTGCAAACACGAAACCATCCTCTAGTTAAATAAAAACAAAAATTGGCGAAAAAACTTCATCTAAAAATAATCGAAACCAAGCAAGAGTTATAATATATAGTATATATGACTCTTAAGATATTTCACAGCGGAATATAAATCCGATTTAAGTATGTATATGTTTTTTCAGCTGGGACGATGTGGAGTCTAATGTAAACATATGTATGTAGTTTAGTGCTGAGTAGTTCCAAATGTTTTATACACAACCTTTATATTTTGGAAATTCAAATGTTTAACTGATTTCCTATTGAGCTTTGAGCATTATGCTATTTGTATACATATGCGTGTCAGTATTGCTATAATCAAATCTACTCGCCTGATTTTTGTAACGTAATGTAAATATTATCATTCTCAGAGCAGTGTCGAAAGAGTGCTAGATTACAGCTTTTCAATTATCTATAATTGATTAAATTGAAACAAAGTACGCTCAGTTATTTTATAATTTTCAGAATCGAGGGTTGTATTATACTAGCACGTGCATTATATACAAATATACACATATTTTAAACTCATAAATGCTTGCTTAAAGGCGCATAGGGTCAGTGATATATTGTTGGAAATTTACTTCGTAATACTGTATGAAAGCCCGTTTTTGACTGAAATACTTGGAACTGTTGTTGGCTACAAGCAATAACACATACTCGTATAAATGCAGAATAATGCATTTACCAACAATAACAACACTAATCGCATATACTCTTGGTATCAGACAGATTTATGTGGTATGATCTTAATACAAAATGTTGATGTTGTATAATAGTTGAGTAGTTTTTCAATCGTGGCCGAAACTAATCTTGCATAGGTATAAAATTAATAATCCAATTTCTGAAGTGAAATATTGAACAATCTCGGATTATAAGTGTGGAGTTGGTAATGACAATGATTTGTTCAATAAAACGTCGATAAAAAATATTAAATATTGCATATTAGAAACGAAAATGATAAATGAATTTTGTGGATAAGCTGTATACTGGCTGAAAAAATCGTACTTGGTGATGATCATCGAATAAATTTTCAATTAAAATTATGACAATTCATTCATGTAGAAAAGTCCAAATAATTGTACGCTGTACTATGGCGTACAAATTACATTAATGGAACTTGTGCAGTTATATTGACTGAATATAGTTTGAATAATGCATGGTTGACAACAAAATAAGGGAAAAAATGTAAACTAAGTTTTTTACTAATTCCTTTACTTAATTTACTTTACTTTAGCAAACATTACAATTGCCTAAATGTGTTCTAAATACCTACTTGTGCTACGCAGTACAATAGTTTTGTTTATCTAAAACCCCTGAAACTAATCGAGATATGCAAAGTATATACTATATAATGATCGGATAACGACAGCGGCTACGCTGGC